CCCCCCTGGTACAGCCACGGGGCAGGCCCTTCCCAAGCTGCTGTCAGTCGCACTGAACCGTACAGCCGCCGGAATAGGACCAGGGCTGACAACAGCAACATCCCAGTGATCCTCCCCAGCGCATGTGCAGGCACACGAGCGGGAAGGAGTCCCCAGCACCCCCACCCCCTGCACGCCACCCAGCACGCCCGGGAGGTCTGAGCACAATTTCAGCTGGGTACTTACTTTTTCCACCTCGTCGCTCCAAAGCTGTAGGGGCCACAGAGCAACAGGAAAGGAGATCAGTGTTGGAGACGTCGAGAAGCACTCGGCATTAACACCAATCGGCAAGGACGCACCGTGGACACAGCAGGCCAATTCCGGGGACAAGCTAGCCCTTCACCCAGCAGCAGTTGCCAGATCGATGCCCCTTCCCCTCACTCCTGCATCCTCTGAGCTCAGTTTCACAATGGGAGAGCAAGTTCCTGCCACCAGAGCCAGCAGCACTCCAGCTCTGCTCCAGGCCAGGGCTGTTACAGCAACCACATTCAATGGGCTCCAGAAGAAAAGGATTGAGCTGCAGAATCCTCTGAACAGCAAGGGTGACTTTACTGGAGGCTGCAGAGGTTGGTGTGGAAGGAGAGCCCTTCTTTGAGGATTGTGGAGAGGCAAGCGAGCTGCTTGAGCCCACAGAAAGAGCGTGGGAGCTGCAGGAGCTCAAGCCAGACACAGGCCTGTCTTCCTCACCCACTGGTGTAGGGAGCTCAGGTTAATGGGATCACAATCCAGCCAGTCTGCACTACCAACAGGCACGTTTAGCTACAGCAAGAAGGAAGCAATGGCTGGATAATGCCTTTGAGCCAGGCAAATCATGATGCTACTCTTTCCTACTCTCTTCGTCCGTGGGGACACGACACTGTCAGCTACTTGCTGGGATCTGGCTCCAGGACATGAAACAATTGACAAGTCACACACAGCAATGGGAAAGGGAGAGAAGATGTAGGAAAACACATTGATCCTTCCCAGAGGTCCTCAGCTTGGCCTTTCCTCAGCATTCAACTACTCCCTCAGCCCGGGCAACATGAACACAGATCATCCTGGATCAACTGGAAGCACACCAGCCTGCCAACAACACCCCACATCAGTGGGGCCAGGGGAGATGGATGGCCTTTGAGGCCTTCCGCTTCACTCCCTGATGTCACCTTTGCAGGTAGGAAGTTCCCCAGGGCATGGCTGAAGTTGCACTGCAGCCTCCTGGGAAGCCTGCACTGGTTGCAGCGGGGCGGGAGGGAGAACCCAGGGTCTCCCAGCTGAACCCTGTTGGGGTTGTTCACCAGCAGCTGCCCTGGGGTGGGCTGTGGTAGCCCCAGGTGCTGAGAAAATTGCCCCAGGCCAAAGGAGGATCATCTAAAGGAGCACTGGGGAAGGGCTGAGGCAGGAAGGTGTTCTGCCAGGCTCCTCGGTTTGCTGCTGTTCCTGTTCTGGCTCCTGCTCCCAGGCCTGCGCCTCAGCTCCTGCTCCGTGGTACGTAGCCTGACTGGCATCTCTTCTTACTGGAGCAGAGACAGCGTAGCTGGTCTCCTCACCATCACAGACTGTCCCCGTGCCGTGCCAAGGTGAGCGTTGGGTGTTTTCTCTGACCTTTAGGCGGATGTTTTGTTACTGTGAGTCAGAAACTGGCCCAAATAAGGCCTGGGCAATTTCAGCCATGTGTGGGGACGCACGGCCCTTTCCTTTCTCCATCTAAGAGCTCCTACGCTGGAAGGCAGATGCGAGATCCTTGCAGGCAGCCGGGAAGCAGGTCCTAGCCCGACCTGCTGCTCTGGCACAAGGCCCCTGCCAGCACACCCTCATGGTTTTGGAGCAAGGTTTACTCTAGGGGCAATGGGAAGCTTTCACTCTGGACAAGGTGCTACTTCGATGCTGTAGATGGTACTTAAGCTGCTTCAGGCCCGTTTAATTACTGCAGTACCCATGGAGTTTGCAGCCAAATTTGTTTCCCTTCTGCTGGCCTTGCTGTGCCATCTCCAGCCCTGACCCTGCGGTGCTCTGGGGCAGCTCAGCTTCACCCAGCTCTCTCCCTGGGCTGAGGTGCTATCCAGCTCTAGTCAGAAGTGTTTTGGACAGCTCAGGGAGTAGAAAAGGCCATGATCTGCACCCCTCTCCCTCCACCCCAGCTCAAGCCAGAGGAACCCTCTTCTTTAAGGCACTCAATGTGTTTTCCTTGGAATCGTTCCTAGGAGGACAGTGCATGGCAAGCGGCAGGATCTGAGAAAGGGATGTTTAGGCTTACGCAGCCCATGGACATCTTACACAAAACCAAAAGGTCAGTGTGGGAGAGAGGAGGAATGGCTCCTCAGCCTCCATCTCATACAAAACAAGGGAAGGGCTTGTCTCTAGGTGGATCCAATTCCATCTAAGCCTTCCTGTTATGGGAAGGGGGAAAAAAAGGCACCACGTTATCCACCTCTCCAAAAAAACCACCATGAATTTAGAATCCAAGCGAGAGCCCTGATGAGGGCATATGGTCCAGGAGAGAGCTGACCTGTTTGCTCACCTGTAGGGCAGTTGTTACCTGGGCATAAGCAATCCCTCCCTGCAGAAGGGAGCCAACAGCAAGGGGAGCAGCAACCGCTGCTCCGTACTGCCAGTGCACGCTAAGGCCAAAGTAGCACAAGGCCTGGAAGAGCAGCAGAATGAAGAGCTCCCACCCTGCTGCAGTGTCTGACCCCTTGGGATGAGTGCTGGGATGAGAGTGCTGGTTGCGAAGCAGTCCTGCCTGGACAGAGCTGGGGAGCACTCTGGGCTCAGCCCATTTTGCTAATTAGAGATACCAATTGTGCTTCAACTCACCCCTGGTAGCGCAGCTGGACTTCACCAGCAATGGCACCCTCTGAAATAGTTTTGGAAGCCAGAAGGACCACTGCTGGCTAGGCCAGGAGGATTCCTACAGGCATTCCCTGCAGGAGGCCGTGCTGTGCAACCATCAAACGTGATTAAGTGATCAGGGTCAGAGCTGGCTGCTTACCTCAAGCCTGTCAGCCTCCTAGAGCCCTGCTCGAACTGCCCCGTATCGTCAGTGTCAGCACTTCTCTAGCAGCGCTCTGAAGAGGGACCACTGAAGTGCCAGGGTAGGCACCTGGGAGCTAGCCCCCTCCCCAAAACCTATTTCTCCTTCCTGTGCTTGGCATCTGCTGCCCAGAACAGCTTCGCAATACAGCAAAAGCGGATCAGCTCGCGTTTCTGGTGATGAGATGTTCAACTGAGCATCTGGGCACTCAGCAGGATGCTAACGCGTGATGGGCATATGTGTGCCCTCAGGGCTGCTTCCAAAAACCTCAGGGAATAATCAGGATACCGTGGTCTGATCACAGCTCTTCAGAGGCAGGGGAAGCCTGGTTTCTCTCCTCTGATTGTCTTAGAGCTCAGTTTTAGTCCTTAATAACAGACTGTCCTTGGAACAGACCTTTCCAAGGGAGAAGCCAGAGCCAGGGGCTCACTGTTAGCTGCTGTGCTAAGGGAGGTGGAAAAGGGAGCAGTTGCTACAGCATCACCAGCACCAGTTTCTTCCTCAGAAGTCTCATCACCAGGCTGCTTACCTACCTAAATAGGGGTCTCGCTAGCGTGCAAAGCTATTTCTGATCCCAGCATCACACTCCAAGAAGGTCAGGACAGATCCTCTGGGAACTAACACTGATGCTATCGGCTCAGCCACGCAGAGGTATCCCTCTCCAAATGGGATGTGTTGCCCGTTAATCAAATCCAGCTTGTTTGCATGCTGTTTTTTGTTTGCTAGGAGGCTGGGCTGTCCTCATTCACATCTACAGATCCCACTCCCCAGCCCTTCCAGATTATTCCATTCACAGTCATCAGTGTTGTTCTCAATGCCAATTAGGAAGCAAGATGATCAGTTTTCAACATTTTAACGAGAAATGTGACATTGTGCAATGGGGAGCCATGAACACAGCACACAGTCAGTCGCTTGACCACAACGGCTCAGTGCGGCGCAGCAGAGACGCAAGGGGCCGTTCGCCCACCGCCAACGCCTCTGACTGCGTAACAGCCACCAACAGACAGGCCCCGAGAGGAAAGGGAAAACAATAATTGACTTCCATCCGCAGAATAGACGAGGCTGCGCTGTCAGCCTACCGCGTGACAGACGTCGCGGGTGGCAGAGAGGTTTCTCCACCTTTGCTTCTCTTGACCAGATACGAAGCCTCCGAGCACTGACACCGCAGTGCTGACCAGGCAGTCACACGCGTGACACTGCAGCGGACAGCTGGAACCATCCAGAAAGACCAACCTTTGAGGTTTTTTTGTCCTTTCAATTACTCCACTAGCAATAAAGAGTCAGAAGATTCCCCACCAGAAACGTGGAAATGGATTGGCAGAGAAACTGGAAAGCAAACCAAGCAGCAAAAGTGCCGGACCCTGACCATGCACCCCCACGGGGGTGAGCTGCATCCTTCAGGTTGAGTCAGAGGAACCCTGGGCAGCCCATGTCACATTAAAATGTTGAAAACAGCAGAGCACTAGGTCCAAGTTTAAGTCGGGTGAAAGAGAGGGGCAGGAAGAGGTTGGAGAGGCAACATCTAGGAGGAGGCAATCTTACCGCTGAGGCGCTGGCGGAGAGAATGTAATTACGAGGTCTAGTCTCCTGAAAGTCAGGCACAGCCTAGGGGGGGAATAGAGTTTCATGTACAAGTCACGCAGAAGAGTCGACAGGAGTCAGTCGGACGAGGGATGGAAAAGACTCCTGGGTTTTCCTGTGTGCTGGCAGCTTAGGTGAAGTTCTTAGGGGGTGGCAGGAGGGACATCTCCCAGCAGTCTGGGCAGTGGTGTGTGGAAGCCAGGCTTGTGCAAGAGGAGGTGGACTGGCTCATGCAGTCACACCTGGTACTCAACCAGCAGACGTTTCTACGGTTAGAAACTCTGCCTGTACTTACAGCTACCCCCTCACAGAGCGCCCAGTTGGAGTGGAGATGAGACGGCACGATCTCAAACGCGTTTCCCATTCCCTCGCAGCCAGCAGGTTGCTCATGTCGTGTCGGCTCAGTCCAGTGGGCAGGACCTTCTTTCCCCCTGCTTCCTGCCTACACACCTCTGAGTGTCCCTGTACAGGGCCTTGTCCTTACAGCGGCACGTTTACCAGATCGGAGCACTCTTCCCACAGTGCCTTTTAGAGAAATACATCTACTTCTAACTCTCACCACGTCTCTGGGCATGTTTCCTCCTAACAGACTCAGATCCGTTTTCAGCAAGGGGCACGGCTTAGCCAAAGCAGATCTAGTCCAAAGCCTTGCCATTGCCAAAGGTAATGGAGGAGTTTTCAGAGGTCAGAAAACCTCTAAGCCACCTTTCTCCATAGCTAAACTCTGCCCTGGGGCAGGAAGACTTAAGCACTCTGGAGGTTTTCCTCATTGGGAATGCAAGGGATCCAGTCCATCCCCACACAGGTGTGGGCTTGCTAACCATCACATAACACTGTCTCTCTGCTCAGCTAAGCTAAGACTAGGCCTTCTCCTAGGATGGCCTTTGGCTGTAGCATCACCCAAGAGATAAGCCAACCATCTGGCTTACATCAGGACCACTGGTGCCACGATCAGGACATCCTCCTGGGCAGCCTTTGCTGGTTGGTGTGCAAGGCTGGCACACAGTGTGGCTGTAACCCAGCTGCTTTTTAATCCTCTCAGGCCCCATGTTTCCTCTCCCAGGTTAATCTCTTTGCAGCTCACCCAGATCTACTTTACACGCTGACCCCATTTGCTGGGCCCCAAGCAGCCTGCTGGAATGAGTGACCAGTGGAGAGCGGTCAGGCAGTCCCAACAAGAAGAGATATTTTTTTAAACCATCTAGGAGTTTGGGGATGGCTGGAGGAAGGAATAAGAAGGAGCAATTCCTATTATGAACCAGGATATAGGGAGAAAAATGCACCAGTGTGATTTGAGGCCAGCACAGCAACTAGGCTTGACTCCTCCCCAGGGAGAGAGGAGATGTTTCACACAAAGAGCTTATGCTTTTTTTGGTAAAGATCAAGAGCAACTGAAGATCCTCTCCTCTGATTCCCCAGTCTCCAGAGAATCCCCAAACTAGTCATAGCACATGGGATGAAAGAGGCAAGCTGCTCTTGCACTCCTACGCATGGACAAGTTGGTTTTGCAAGCAGTGGTCAAAATGGACCCATGTCCCTCCCCCTTCCGCTCTCGTTAACGGGGAAAACGGGCAGAGGCCTGGAGGACAGAACAGCACCACAACCAGATCAACCTGCCTGTCATTGTCTCTGGCTGCCTCCCTTCCTGGAGAGGGACATGCCACCCAACCTGACCTCCTCCTGCCTGCAGCTGGAGGAGCCTGAGTGGGTCTTTACGGGAGCCCATGGCTCTCTTGAGCACTGCTTGCAAGCAGCGTGGATGGAACCGAGCGCATGCTCCAGAGGGGCTGCGGGCAGCCGACACGCTCCCATCTTCCTGGGGCACCTTCCCCAGGCAGCCACAGCCCTGACCATGCCTCCAGGGCCAGTCCCAATGGGACGAGAGATGAATTTTCATTTAAAATGGGAAAGAGACAATGAGAGGTGTTAAAGAAAAAAACCACCGTCACAGCACTGTTAGCACAGTCAATACTCACATCTCCCTCACACTGAGCAAATTACAAAGAAACAAAACAAAAAGGTTAGTAAACAAAACGGCATCAACAGGAAGGACAAAGCACGAAGTCCGAGGGAAACACACAAGCCCAGACACTCGAACGGCAGCTCACGGGTCTGGGCAGCAGCGCACTCGGAGGGGTCGGTCACGAGACAGAAGCTGTGGGAACACAAGTTTGCACTACAGAGGGGAAAGAGCAGCAAGAGAGTGGTGAGCTGGGAGAGGTGTGACACAGGACTCCAGGCACGTTACAGGGAATGTTGTGGTCTAACGATGAGTTAACACACCCAGAGCAGAGGGAGCAGCTCTCCCCCCATGCTGGGAGCTTCCATCTCTGCCTTGTCCTTTAGTAGAGAGTGAGGCACCCAGGGACCCCACCTTTAGCTAAGCTGGGTAGGAGATGGGTGCTCACAGCCACTGAGGTTGCTATTTTATATGCTCTCTGTTTCAGAGCAGCAGAGGGGCTGGGACGTCGCTTGGGGTGAACACCCTGGAAGGCCTGGACTGGCTCTGCAACCTGCTGGGGTACCCCAGCCCTGCAGTTCCAGTGGGAAACGAAGCTTTTCTTTCTCAGGCACAGGGAAGTCCCTCACCCAAGGGTCTGTGTGCAGCTGAGAGGCCTTGGGATCACTTCACATAGGAAGCATGTGGAAAGGGAAGCACAGGAGGTATGTGAATTCCTGTTCTGATTTGAGCTAAAGATAAAGCAATGGGCCCCACCCCCTGCAGAAGGGGAATCAGGGATCCCTGAGATTACCATGGGTGGATCTGGCTGACCTGACTGATGAGAAGAGGCTTTTTTAAAAGGGCAGTTATCACTTTTGTTCACCCAAAGCCTTCTTCAGGGCTTTCCCACTGTTAGACCTACTGATGGAGGCCACGGAGCTTAGCACAGCTTCCCCATATGGCATGTACACAGGTAGAGCTGGAGAAAAGGGAAAACACCCAGGAACTGGCCACCCAGGGAGCTGCAAGGTCAGAGGCTCAGCTGAGCAGATGGCTAGAAAATGGGCTCATGGCAGGGCTCCTAGACCGCTATCCAGAGACGCTGACAAGGATTCCTGCCTCTTCTGATCGCGCATGTTTGCTGGTTGAGCTCCTGGCCCCAGGCTAGAAGCAGAACTTGGCAAGTCCTCATGCCAACAGCTACAGCACTACAGGGTGTCAATCTGCTTCAACTGGGCCCTCCAGGGAACCCACCAGTGCTCAGCTACATCCTCCTGCACCACCTCTGCCCAGGGAGAACCCAGCTCCAGGAGATGCCCAGGGCACACCCTGAGCTGACAGGTCTCATCAGCCTCAGACGAGCACTTTGAAGCATTTGTCCCCGTTGCTGGAGCCTGCAGAGTGACACTGGCTGACTCACCAGTCCTTTCTGCACTGCTCTGACCTGGGAAAGGGTCTTTCCTAGTTTGCTTGCCATGATTTCCCCAAAGCCAGAGGGCAAGACTAGCCTGTAAACTAGACAGCACCATGAATTAAGTGAATAGAGAGGCTGAAGGAAGGACCTCTTGGTAAACAGTCTGACCCAGCCACCCCTTACAGGCTCCCCTGGCACTCCTGCCTGGGGAGAACTGAGTGGGTGTTAAAGTAGCTAGTCTGAAAGCCTGGGACTGCTGCAGATCCCCAGCAGCTTTCCCCTTGTGTGCTCCCAGCTCAGCTCTCTCTTGGCTTGCTTTGAGATCCCCAGGGAAACTTGCAAGTCCTCAAATACAGCCTTTTAGTTCCTAGTACAAACCACCCAGTAACCACTAGTAGTCAGGAGACTGGGTGAAGTAGAAATTTCCAGAATCTGGAAGCTCAGAACTACTTGTGTCAGCAACCATCCCACGGAAGGTCATCTGAGGAACAGGTACGTGGCTCCTGCTCCCAATTCCCTTGCATACCAGATGAGGAATCCCCCACCCACTTTTGCCAGAGCTAGGACATAGTAGGGCAGCCTTAATTTTGCCCACAGTACGTAGCATTGTTCATGTGAGCCAAGCCCTGGGGCCAGAAGGACAGAGAGGGGAATGAAGGAAAAAGTTACCGCTGCTTTTGCCTCGGCAGCTTTGGCTTTCTTCAACCTGGCTTTGCAGGCATCCAGATCCAGGCGGCGGTTCTGCAGGATCCTCCGCTCTTTCTGGAAGGGACAGAAAATGGGGTAAGAGCAGACTGCTTAGGAGCTGTTGGGGAGAGAAAAGGACAAGGTATCATCTAGGAATCAAATCTACTTCCTTATAAAAAAAAGGCTAGGGAGAAAGCAGCAGTTGCTGTGTGCATCTCGTTAGCAAGAGTTTTGGGCCTGACTGCCAGGGACACAGGCGAACCCTCTGGGAACAGGGCAGCGTGCGGGTGGGTGGTGCCCGCTGAGCTGTAGGAGTCAGGAAAGGAGTGACCTTCCTCATGCATATCAACTGGCAATCCTTCCCTGCCACAGGCAGAGCCGGGATTGGTATTCCCTTGTCCTTGCATTCTTGAAGAAGGAGATATATAGTCCTCCGTTCTCATGGGGAAGGAAAAGGAGTTCTAGCACTGTCTCTCTTCCCACCTCATGTGACACGACAAGCTTCCCCTGCCCTGCTACCATACTTACGGATATGGTTCGCCAATCCCCTTCCAGGAAGTTGCGCAGTGGGGTCAGGAAGTTGATGGAGGCGGAGTGGATGAAGTCCCGTTCTGCTGCACCTAAGCGCCGTTGAGTCTCTCCAACTTTTATCAAGGTCTTCCCTGCAATAACAGGAGCCTTCAACTCCAGGAGAAAGCAGTTAACGTTGTGTTGGCTTCAGCCAACTCACCCAGAGCTACCAGGTTCCAGTGTGGGGGACAAAGGCAGTGTGTACCCTGCCTGGACAAGGTGACTGTGCCTGTACCACACCAGCTTCAGTACTAACTACAATCTGCTTTTAGCCTGAGGCCTCTCCTCAGCTGCTCCCAGTGCAGCTTTGATCTTATCTGTCTGCCGAGGCACTTATCCCACTGATGTCCTTTTGCTGCTGCACCTGCTTGCGCAGAATGATCTTTGTCTCATAAAACAGAGGCACAGGAACAGAGAAGCAAATTAAAAAGCACCAGAGCAGAAAAAATGAGTTGATTAGGCAGTGCTGGCTATAGATGCAGCTACAGCTGTTTTGCACTCCCTATCGAACAGCTATTGATTTGGAGAGCAGTAACAAAGCTCATGGCAGAGGCAAGGGCAGCTGGAAGTTAAGGCTGTGCTTCCATGCATGTCTGCTGCTTAAAGACCAAAATTCCCCCAGGAAGGGGCAACTGTTAGGATTTAAATGCAGAAAGATGCATCCAGGAAGGGCCCTGTTGAGGCTTGTAGCCAAGCACCAACCTTTCCAGTCTGTTTTCCTGTTCTCTTTCTGCTGGAGAAAGATTTCCACCCTCCACTTGCAGGATACAGTTAAAGGATGGTTCTCCTGTTTGGAGTTTAGAGAAACTCTGTGCAACTAGGTACCATCTTAAGACTAAAAATATGCTCAAACTGGACAAAGCTAAAGCTTTTCACTGCAACTCCCTGTTCAGGCTAGTTTAGAAAGCCACAGAAACAGCACAGAATAGTTTTTGCATCCTGGTTTTTGCAACCAGTCCCCCTGGCAACTCTGGATCCACATGTCTTTATTTTTTCTCTAGGTCTGCCAGACTTGAGGACTGTATGAGGAAGGGGAAGACCCCTGCTCCTGCTCCCCTCACCATGGAGCAAGACTTGACTTCCTACTCCAGGTAGGCTGTTTGCTTCTGTGCTAGAGACGACCCTTCTCTGGCATCAGCTGTGACCCACTCATAGGCAGGTTGCCATGTGGGGAGCATGCCCCCCTGCCCCCTTCAAGAGGCATGCTGCAGAAGCCTTAACCCAAAAAAGCAATGGGGATACTCTTAGGAAGGGATGGATTTCCAGGGCTTTTTAATTGGCTAGGCTGACTTACCGTACGGTGTCGCTGGCCCAAAGTCATTAGCTGCTTCTGTCATGTACTGTGCCAGCAGCTCCCCGTTGGTGACCCGGGAAGGCACCTTCCGGTCAAGCTTCTCGTAGAGGAATTCTTCTACTCTGGCACCTGGAACGAGGATGCCACCAGGAGTTAGAGGATGTAGGAGGGGCCTCTGGCACTCGTATTCAAGGTGGCCCACCTTCACCTACCCAGTCAAGGAGGGAGAGGCCCTGCAAAAACATTTCTTCCATCCCCCACAAACTCCAGAGAACAGGGCTCTCTGCCAGAGGGCATGTCTTTTAGCACCGAGCTGCAAGTGATATTTGTCCTCCAAGCACTGGAAGAAGTTGGACTTACTAGGGTTTGGCTGTAGCAGAACTTCAGTCTGACGCAAGATCTTCTCTGTCCAGTTCTTTGTGCAGTCTGCTCTGGCCATAAGGTTTTCAAAGTGGGCGTCTAGTTCAGTCTTCTCAGCCTGCCCCAGCTTCTCTTCAGTAAACTGCGGGAAGGAGGTAGTCGTTAAAGTCATTTGCTACGAAAGCAGAACTACAGTGTGCTACAGAGCTATCGAGAGACACCGAGGCTTCTTCCGTCTCGCGCGTTTATCTTAGATTAGAGCGAAAAAGCCTTCGAGGTGTCACTGTTCCCAGGCATCTTTCAGGGGAAGAGAGCAAATTTTTGACCAAGAGTGGAACAAGCATTGAGCTAAAAAAAAAAAAAATAGAGTCCAGGCTTGAGAGGTGTTCCAGAATAAGTAACTTTAAATAAGGTCTGGTACAAAAATACTCTAGTTATGAGGAGTTTATTTAGATGTGGGCACAGCTTCCAGTGCTTCATGTAGGAGAGCAACAGACATCCTTCACGTGAGGGAAGGTGCCATCTCCCTTCCCCTCCTCCTAACCAACTCCATGTCCTGCAAACCCAACAGTATCAGGAATGTCACTACCACCTCACAAGGCAGGCTTTCCTTCTCATTTTATCTGACAAGCATGTATGCAACATGGGTTTTGCTACAGGGCTTGAGTGCCCTCCGACAGCCGTCAGACTGACAGTGTCCGAGTGCTGCCTCCCAGCTCACCTCCTGCCTTGCTGGCAGCGAGCTGCCAACTGAGCATCTGAGGTTTAGGGAGGCTCAAACGCAGGACTTAGATAAAAACACTTCCAACAAGCAACTCTCCCTCTAGGAAACGCTCTGAAGCGGGGTACTGAGAGAAATATAACTGTGTCTGACTTCTCTTGATGCTCAGATTCACACTGGCAACAGACTCCCCCTCCCTCCATCATTCCTTTGAAGTTTAAAATTAGCAGCAGGGTAAAGCAGGCTGTGCAAGTCTTCAGTGTTTCCATACTGGGCAGTGACATCAGACAAGCAAGGTTTGTCAGTCTGGAGGTGCAGTGTCGGACGGCCTGGACACCCCACATTGCTTCCTTGGGGGATTTCAGAGAGGAGAGCCCTCTCATCCTACCCCCATACTCTGCTCACTCCTCTCAGTGATGTTGGCCAACTTCAGTGTATTTTTATGCACAATTTCCAACAAGCTGTGGGTTCCATCAAGAGCAGGATCATACTAAAAGACCCCTTTAGACAGCTATGCTACCTGGGATCCTACAGAGACTGCGGTTGTCCTTTTAGCCCTTGTTGCTGGCCCTTGGTGCCACCACCAAGTTATCAGGACGTGGTACCATACAATACCTGGTCCAGTCAGGTGCCAAGACATTAAAGCCTGGCTCAAACTCTCAGATGAAACACTCCTGTCTCACCTGTCACTCGTACCTTCTCCCCTCCACTATCCCTCAGCTCTAGATGAGCCAAGATGCCCTCTTCATGGGGTCTTGGTCTGGCGACCGCTGCCCTTCCTAAAAGGCTTTCTGGCAAGCTGTTCCCATGGCTGCGTTCACATCCAGCCCAGCGCTGGGAACAAAGTGAGATAAGGAGCAAGCCCAGAACAGCACGTGAGGCAGGCAAACAGCTCGAGGAGTCCTGTTACCAGCCCCGTTACTAGATGTCACAGATATACAAGCCCCGCAGGTATGTTTACACAGTGACCTGTTTGGACAAGATTCGAGCTAGAGCCAGTGAGCTGCTTTGCTGGATGTCGGTGGTGACCGATTCTCAACTGCAAGGACAGTCACGCTCCCTCCCGCAGCAGGGTGGGGACAGGACTGTCCTCAGCACCAGCGGCCCCTGGTTACTGGGACTTATTTTCAGCTCAGTCTTGCCATGGACGTTGCTGGGCATGGCTAAAAGCATATTCAAGGTGAGAGGGTGTTTGTATTGCTTTGTACCCAACGTCTACGATTGTCTTTGGGGGCACACACGACTGTCAGACGTGCGTGAGCGGCTGAGGCTCTCTTCCTCTGTCACTGTTGGAAGCCCAGGGCTGTTTTCAGACTCTGCCAGGCTGGGCTGAGTCACTGCCATGCAGCAAACTGGGGCTTCCCAGGTATTTGGCAACAATTCTCGAGTCATCTGTTTAAGAGCTCTCTTAAACAAGCCGAGACTCTTTTGATGCAAGCATAACAGTCTCCCTCACCCCCCTTTCCCAGACTGTTTTTTGAGATCTCATCTCATTTTCAAGTCCTGCAGTTGAGACACATCCTGCACCAGCATCTGCCCCGGAGCTGTCAAGCCTAAACACGGTTTCTTATCAGCTGAACTGAGTCGGCTTCTTGCAGCAATGCTGCAGAGTCAGACCACTGCTGAAGCCCTCCAGCATCTCCACAGCGCTGCTGCCGGCCCCTTGAATCTCTCCAGCTCTCGGGTCCTGTGCTGTATTCGCAGGCGGCACCTCCAAGCATCGCTGTCCTTCGCGGCTGCTTTCGGTAACCCGCCCCTTCGCCCGGTGCGGTGGAATAACACGGGTCCTTCGCACAGCGCTCGGCCAGGGAGCAGCCCTGGCTCAGTCACTCCCTTCTTGGGTCAGGCACTGAAGTGGTTTGTCTTGCAAGAGGGCTGAGGACACGCACCACGATGGCTGCAAGTCTGGGCTATGGCAGGAGGGGAGGATGGGCAGGAACC